GGGGGGTGGGTTTCTTTGTGCTCAAAGGTAAAGAGGCCTGACCCTAATGAAGCAGAAGCAAGAAGCTCAGCCTGAAGCATGAGGGGAACGTCGGGGGACAGAGCAGCCCAGACGGACTGACGGGAGCTCCCGGCTGAGGCTGATTCGCCTGTGGCTGCATCACGCAGGTTTGTCGTGCGGTTTGGCTTTGAGGAAAGGCGTTGATTGATACGGACCAGGAATTTGGTTACATTGAAAGAGAGTTCATTTACATACGAAACCATGTCATACTCCACCCGTCGTGGTTTTGAAAAGTGCTCCTGGCAGGTAATAGACAAGTTACGACACGCTGATGTCGTACAGCGTCACAGAAAACTCAGCAATTGTCAGAATGGTTTCTAAGGCGGTACCTGCCGACCTAAGCCATCGGGTATTTTCTGAATATACATCAACATCTTTGGCTCCAAGAATCCAGGAACCCAATAAAACCAAAGGGGAAATTACCCTTTCAGGAACCATCCAGCTGTTTTTATACCTTTACAGGTTGGTGAAGAAATATGTCCTGTCTTCATAAGCCTTCATTCCTTGGGAAGGGTGGGAAGATGATCAGCATTGTTAAGTTGCACATCCTAGGAGTCAACTCCCTCTTCTTTGTTTCACCTTGGCATTCCTGTCTGTTGCCAAGGAACCTACTGCAGCTTCCTCCTTTTCCTAGGACTGTCCCTCTCCCTCCTTGTTTGTCTGAAATATATTTTCCTATGACTGTATGTCTCTTGATATTTTCTCAGCAGTAGCCTCTCAGTCCTGTATTTCATACTGTGAAAACACAAAATATTGTTCCCACTGCCTTTTCTAGCCAATGTCCTAGTGTCCCTTTTACAGTTTCTGGCCATGCTGGTAATTTACCAGGTTCCCACCTACCATCTTGTAAGTTACTCCTCAATATTCACTCATAGACAGTTGCCTCCCCATCATTTATGTGGTGCCCTTCATCCCAAAGGTTTCAAAGCTTTTCTTAAGAGACAACAGATGGAATTCATGCTCATTTTATTTTTTTCAGATTTTTCAAACTTTTTTTATTGAGTTATATTCATTTCACAATGTTGTGTCAAATTCCAGTGTAGAGCACAATTTTTCAGTTATACATGAATATAGATATATTCATTGCTTTCTTCTCTGTGAGCTACTATAAGATCTTGTGTATATTTCCCTGTTCTATCCAGTATAATCTTGTTTATCTATTCTACGT